TTGAGTTGGTCCATTCTGGAACAATAAAGGTCAAATATGAGTCTAAAGAATAAAATAATCAAGCGCCTAACCGTCAAAGTAGTTAAATATACCAGTAAGTCTTCATGTGGCTTCAACAACTCATTTTCGGAGGCACTTGGATCCCAATCAAGCTCATGCTCTTCTGCAATTTCCTTTAATAGCTTCAATTTCACATCAGGAGCAGGAGCTCTAACAGACAAAAGTTCTATTAACTGAAAAATAATATGAAATATTTTGATGAGAAGCAAATCAAAATTACAAAAAAGACAAAAGCAAAAACAAACCATTATCTCAAAATCTTCTCATGCTAAAAAACAAAGTCCAATAACCTGACGATTGACACCACACTCTGGCCTGAGCTCTGTTGCTGCAGCAACAAACTCTTTACCATATTTGGCAGCAAACAGCATTTGAACCTGTAGCAACTCTTGTAAATCAGCACATCTTGGTGCTGCAAAACATACACTGGATATAGCTTCTTTCAAATCTATAGGACATTCCCTGAAAATTGTATTTTAAAACATGGTTCAAAGTCAGATGCCAGTTCAGAAACAATGACAACATTTAACAGAAATCCAGTGGCAATCATGAAATCAATAACTTCAGGTGTTAGTATAAAATGTACTCCTAAAAGAGTAAAGAACATAATCATACATTCATGGGTAAAATCTCAATTCCCATCATGCCCTTTTCTTCCCTAACAAAGAGCCCGGAAGCCAGATACAGCACATCAATAATGGTGAAGAAAATGAAATTCACTTTTAAGAAGTTTGGTCCATAAGAATTACAAAGATTCCTCCTAATACAAATAAATTCATCATGGTAAACTACAAAGAGAGTGCAGATGGAGAGGATGAGAAAAAACGTGAATACAGAGAGCAGGAGCCAACAACATTAATGATAGCAGGCTGCAAGCACTTTACCATGTAGAAATTTTGACATAACTGTAACAGTAACAAATTTTATTTACTAAACCTTATCCAAGACATTTAAAAGCAATGCTAGCAGTTTGTACACACACACACAAAGTTGGCTATGAAAGAGGTTCCCATGACAATGTTCATTTTGCTTTTTTCAAGATTTCTTCTTCATTGCCAGTTTTGTGGTTGATTAAATGTCAACTTAACCTTGTCAACTAAATTGCGTTTGGGAGCCCAAGCAATGAAGAGTTACTTGTGGTGTAAGCGTGCACCAACTGATAGAACTACAACTCAAGAACAAAATAAACAAGTAAAATTCCTTATAACTGAGAGAAGACCATGTAACACCTAATATTCCCCTAAAAGAGAATTAAAAGGACACCCATTATTCCACAAAAAGATGAATTAGTCACAGTTCCCTCCACTCTTAGTACAAAGTATCAGCAAGCAAAGCCAAAAGCAATGCCATAGAATAAGGGTCTTTAAGCAGGTTCTAGAGAAGTTTAAGCAAAAACTTGCTTTGCAACCTGTCATTCTATATATTGTACATATCTTCCAATTTCTGCTTTATAGAAGTAAAAAAAAAAATTTTTTGGAAGAGCCGAACTTCTTAAAATCCTGTTAATTTGTTGAATTTCTCCCTCTCAAAACACACTTGCACATAAAAATAGAGATAGGAGTAATTAATTCCTATACAGGCATACAAACCGAAAACAGCACATTCATAATTACCATTTAAGTACAGAGCAAAGCTAAAAGAAGAATCTTGTAAACTAAATAGTATTACAGATTGTAAAAAAGATACCTTTGAGCTTCGATTATAGGTAGACGAACAACTATAAGCTCGCAGAACAGCTCAATGATCTCTTGAGCAGCCATCATTTTCTCTTCTCTTATAATATGCTCCACCTAAACATACTCACAAAGGAACACAAAAAACAAGTAAACATTAAAATCTTAAACCTCTTCATTCATAAATCCCACAACTTGTTTGCACAAAATGCTCACTTAAACCTCAAAACAGGGAAATCAATACCCGAATTCTGGCAGTAGCTTCTTGACCAGTCTCAAGAAGATTGGCGATATCTCTCCGCATTTGCTTAATCTGGATCTCTCTCCTATTCCTCAATAACTTAATCCGTGGAATCGACAACTTTAGCAAGGTTTTGCTGTCAATTACACGATATAAACCAGATTAAATCAATAAACAACATCACCCCAAATATCCACAAACCCAGGTACCCCAAAAAAAAGGAACAAAAAAGCAGATACTCAAAATTAGATCAACATGATGACTAAATTTCTTCCAAAAGTGAAAATTCTCGTCAAATTCAATCCAATCATCAAAACCCTAGCTGAACTAAAAACCAAGGAAATTTCAAAAAAAAAAAATGACAAGAACAAATTAGTAGTACCATTTAGAAGCTTTGAAGCCGCCTTTGCTGAAGAAGGAATCCATAACCGATTATCTGCTCAAAAATTTCAACCGAGGAGTGAAATTCCAATCAAAGATTTAAACTTTTTCTTTCAATTTTCTGAAAAAAAAAGAGTAAACGAATAGAAGAAAATTGTTGAGAAATAAGTTAAGAGATGTAACAGAGAGTAATTGGGGGAAACTGGAGAGGTAGGGGTTAATGATCGAATACCTGCTCCTCTATGGGACAAACGACGACGGATTAGACGCGTTCGAGAAGCCCAGTTTCCTTAGGAACGAAGGCTCTTTTAGTTGGTTTCTTATTTTTTGTCTTTTTTATTCTGGAAAATATATAAAATAACTTAAGGCCATTATTATAGGAACTTCCTTTTTTCTGACGATATAGGAAATTGCTGAAATTGAAATGAGTTTTGCTGCGTAATACAATTTTTTTTTAATCAAAAAAAGATACATAATTACATAATTGTTTTAAACTGAGAAAAATCTTGATTCGGATTAAGATTAGTGCAGATTTAGGATAGCAAGATGACAAGATATAGCATATGGCCCAATGCAAATCAAAATTAGCCCATGGGCTTCTTTGTCATACCTGGCGATGCAGTAAGCATGTGGCCCGCCTAATTTCTGTTCTTGTTACAGCCCCAGAGAGGTGGTTTTACGTTTCCAAAACTCATTTTTGATCGTTCAATTGTTACTTTGAGTTGGAGCAGATTTTGTACTTAAAATTAACCATACGAAAGTTAAAAACAAAACAAAACAAAAACCCTCTTTACAACTCAAGGCTTAGTTTGGGAGTTTAGGATAGATAAGAGAAGAAGGGAAAAACTTAAAGTTACGAGAGAGAGAGAGAGAGAAGAGAAGAGAAGGAATTTTTATGTTATTTGAAAATTTTGAGAGCTAGTTAAATAATTTTAGATATAAAAATTATTAAATATTTATTCAAGATATTTTTAAAAATAAAATATGTATTTTAAAAAAAAAATCGCAAACTTCCTCCAACTTTCTCTCCAAATTTGGAATGAAAATTTTTTTCCTTTATTTTCTTTCTTACTAAAAACTCCCAAGCAAAGAAAACGAAACTCTCTCTTCTTTCTCTTTCTTTCCCGTCCAAATCCTCAACTTCCAAACGAAGCCTCAAGCCCCAACCCACCCTCGTTTCATTCGAAATGATGTCAAAGCTTCTCCTTCAAATCAATGGAGTTGGGAGGATTCTTTCCTGTAAGCCTCTCTGGCACCTGCACTACTACTCCTCAAATGCAGCGGCATCATCTAGAAATCAACCCCAGAATCCTGATTCCATGGTAGGACACCTCATGGACTCGCTTGGGTTCTCCCAAACCCAAGCCCTCTCCGTCCGGAAAAGGTTGAGTGCCTATAAAAGCTTTAAGCAAGACCCAGATTTAGTCGTCAGTTTCTTTCAAGGATTAGGTCTAGACAAAACCCAAATTAAAAGATTCATTTCTACAGAGCCCAGATTGCTGTTTTGCAGCGTAGACAAAGCCCTCAAACCTAGAGTTCAGATCTTCCAAGACCTTGGTCTATCGGGGCCGGACCTTACCACGTTCTTGGCTCACCATGCTTACATTTTGAGGAGAACAGATTGTTACATAAGACGCCCGATCGAATGTTTAAGAGATATATTAGGAAGTGACGAAATTGTTGTCGAGGTTGTAAAGCGTTGTGGCCGGTTGCTTGATCCTTATGCACCCTTAGCAATAGAACCAAATGTTGCGTTGCTGCGAAAATTCGGCTGGTCAGGTGACAAGATTTCCAAGTTTATAGTCAACAAGCCTTGGATTATATTGCGAGAGACGAAGTGGCTTGAGGGGTTGTTGCAGGGTGCGGAGACTGATTTTGGGATTCCTCGCGAGTGCAAGATGTTCTATCATGGGGTTTTGGTCTATGCTTCGCTTAAGAAGTCGACGTTTGATGAAAAAGTTGAGATTTTTAGGAGCTGTGGCTGGACTGATACGAGTATCCGGAGCTTGGTTAGGAATTTGCCTTTTACTTTCACTTTATCGGAAGCTAATGTTCGCAAATCTGCGGGTTTTTTCATGGGGGAGCTTGGATATAAAGACGAGTACTTGGCTTCTCATCCCATTCTTTTAAGTCTAAGTTTGGAGAGGAGGGTGAAGCCGAGGTATGAGATTTTGAAGATTCTGATTGAGAAGAAGTTGATAAGCGAGAGAGTGAATCATTATAATGCTTTCTGCTTTAACGATCTAAAGTTTGCGAATCTTTATCTTCACCCCTACAAGGATGAGATACCGGAGAAGTATGAATCTTACATGAGTAATTGCAGAAGAGGTATGGTTAGAAGGGCTGAGAATTAGAACCTTGGTGGCACTTTCAGTAGATTGACCATCACTCCTTTTGCACAAAATGGGCAGCCAGAGTTCAAATGCGAGTATTGTATCATCGGTGCAAGATTATGGATTTGGCAAAATGGGCTGTACTCACTACTCACAAGGGGAAGTTTTACTTCCGCATACAACTTCTATCTAATAAACAAAAAAATTGGTCTAGAATCCATCTAAGAGTCTCCACTTTCCAGTCTGTTAAATTTTCTGAAATGAGCCTATCCAGGAGGACATTACAAAATCCTGGGAATTTGCAGCTCCGGGTTAATCAAAATTTCCCATTTCCATTGCTTTGGTCAGTACAACAAGCTAATCCCCATCTCCATCTGCAGCTCCAGTTGAGCAAGTACACAAAAATATTCCCTGAACAACTACTTCAAAACTGAGAGTCCCTCAACATTTCCTTTGTGTACAAGAAGTAATAAAGAGCACTCTTGCACCAAATTCTGACCTGCCACTAACTAAACTACCTCTAGAAAGTGTTCACACGGTTTTTTCACGTCATGTTTACACCAAGAGAAAATATCCAAAAGGAAGAAAACAGATGACAAGCAAGAATTAAACCGCTGAACCAACAACTGAAGACGGTGAGTTACCTCAAACAGATCAAAGTTTCGCAAATTTCCTATCTTCTAACATCTCGATATATGATCCATAGACATCAGGTATCTCATCCTTGTGAGGCAGAAGATAACGCTTGACAAATTTCAACTCTGGTAAGCAGACAATGGAATGAAGTGACGTCTTTCTCTTGATCAACTTCCTTTCGTTCAGGATTTTCAAAACTTCATTCCTACGCTTAACCCTTCTATCCAAACTCACAGAGAAAAGCTTAGGGTGAGAAGCCAAGTAACCAGAATCATAACCAAGCTCGTTCATGAAAAAATCCAAACTTTTTCTCGCTCGATCCACTGACATGTTAAAAGTTACAGGTAGAGACCTAAACATTCTCCATATATCCGCATCCGACCATCCAAAACTTCTCAAAATTTCCAACTTTCTCTCGATATTCTCCTTACCAAGCAAAGAGAGCACGTCAACTGCATAATAAAACATGGGGGATTCGCGAGGAATCCCATAATCATTCTCAATCCTCTGCAATACATCCTCAATCCAATCAGGTTTGTGTATGAAAATCCGCCTGGGATTCCTAATGATGAACTTGGCAATTTGCTCATCCCTCCAACCAAACTTCTTCAACAATACTACATTGGCTTGGATTCGAGTCTGTGCATAAAAATCAAGCAACCTAGGAAATTTCTTTATAGCTAAAACAACTCCCTTATCACTACCCAGCAATTGCCTAAGATATTCAATCCGAGGTCTAATAAAAGAGTCCAACCCTCTACTGAATACAGATCTACAGCCTATTATAACCTTGACCAGGTCCGACCCAGATAGGCCAAGTTCTTCCAGAACCCTGATTTTGGGTTTCAGGGTCTTCTCCACATTGGTTAACAAGAATTTGGGATCTGAGGAAGCGATGGTTTTCATCTGCGTTTTATCTAAACCCAAATTTTCAAAATAACTGATGAACAAACCGATGTCTTTCTTGTATAATTTGAAGTACTGTACCTTTCCGGCGGCGGAGATGGCTTCTTCTCTGGAGAACCCAAGTAAGCGTTCGAGGCAGCCGATGAAGAGATGATTCTGAGGTTGCACGGCTGCCAAATTTGTTGAGTAGTTAAGGAAATAATTGCAGAACAAATTCCGCTCGCCGCCATTGATGCGAAGCTTGGAAATGCGGGTAAGCATCGTCTCGAAATTGGACGCCGATAGCAAGCAGCAGCAGACTACTCGATTCGACTGTCGAGCAAATCCCCCGAATAGTCCAACTTTTTTGACTGATTCATGTTTGGTCCTTCATTTTAAGAATGAGACATACGCTTTGTTTGGATACAACTTTTTCAAATAATATTTCATCTGTATTATAAATACATTTTTTAATTTGTATTTTTGTTTCATATACATCACATTTAAAAAAAAGTATTACAATAATTATTTCAAATAATACTCTATGTAACCAAGAATTTTTTAGACTCTATTTGTCTTCATGTAACGGAACAATCAAGAAAATTCAAATCTGACTATCGCTTTGATCCAATTTTTTCATGACTGCTCCGCTATATTGAAAAACCATTTTATCCTATTTTTAAAACGACTCCGAAGGGATGCTTTAGTGGTTACAAGATCAAATTCATTGCCTACAAGAAAGAATGGAAGACGGTGACAGCGACAGCGACACAGCCATAGCAAGGACAGAAGGCAAGATTGAAGCTTCTGTGGATAATTTAGATGGAACACTACTGTCATTAAATAGATCGACAGTGATATAATACTTTGAGATTTACTGTGTCAACTCTTGCAGCATTAAGATGAAAAATGCAGATAACGAATATGATACTTTGAGACTTAACAAGCTCTCTCGCATATGATGTATAAAACTACTGCTAACATGAGCATACATCCTTTGGTTCATCATCGGCAAGCCTGATGAAAAAAATTCACTGGCATGGTGGTCCATGTCCATCGGCAAACCGGCAGGCTATCAGAATAATCCACTGGTTGACTCATATTGCGGGTCACCAATGGACTCAAGGGACTTTAATAAGATCCAATGAGCACAGCAGCCAAGGCGAAAAAGCATAAGAAGTAGCATTCCCATAATAGCACCACCCTCTCTTGAAGCCATTGCCCTTGTTGTCAGAACTGAATTGCTATTGATGCCCTGAAGATTGCTCTGGCTTCCGCTTTACATTCTCAAAAGCTGTTCAGTGAGTCGAGAAGCAGGTGTAAGTCAATCAAAGCTAACACGAGAGGTGTTGCACTAGGTTTTACTGGTATTAAGGGGTCACTGACCTTTGTGTGAATTGAAGCTCGGGGATAATGTTTTTTCAAAGAAACATGAAAACGAAGTCATTTGTGAGAAGTATATTGGAAGAGAGCGCACTACTACTCTTTAGATGCACAAAAAAATGGTTATTTCTACAAACCAATGGCAAGCTAAAGTGAGCCTTTCCATTAAAAAAAAAAAAATCCACGAAACATACAAAATGAGGAGACAAGAATCAAATCCCAAAATCCAGTCGTCAGTCCAAAGCATTACAACAAAGTGCATTACCTACAGCATATCAAAGTCTGCAAACCTTCTTGTACCTTGCAACAGCTTCCAGCCATGATTTATGCAGATCAGGTATCTTGTCCTTGTAGGGCAGGCAGAAGATAATCCTCAAGAATGTGGATGCATGTTCTATTTCTGGTTTTCATAATAAGCATTGGCAATTTCTCCAATCAATTGTGAAGTAAGACTACCTTCTCTAAAACAGCTACCCATACAAACAAAGAAAATGAAAGAAGAGAGCAAATCACTCTGAACAATTTAAAAGTTCCCAATTTTTTTCTTCAGATGTCTTGTGATGTACGATTCATAGACGTCAGGTATCTCATCCTTGTAGCGCAGAAGATAAACCTTGATAAATCTTGATTCTTTGTAGCTCACGACAGAATACAGGCTTGCATTCCTCTTTTTCAGCTTCTTCTCACTCAGAATTTTCATAACCTCAACTCTTGGCTTTATGCGATCTTCCAAACTTAGAGAAAAAATCTTAGGCCGGGAAGCTAGGTAAGCAGGACTATAGCCAAGGTCATTCATGAATAAATCTAAACTTTTCCTCATTTTAGCCTCTGACACTTTTAAAGTATAAGGTAGATTTCTCATTAGGTTATGTATATCCGCATCAGACCAACCAAAACTCCTCAAAACTCCCCATTTCATATCGATAGTCGACTGTTTAATCGAAGACATGACTCTAAATCCATGGACGAACATGGGCGTCCCTCGTGGTATGCCAAGATAGTTCTCCACTTTATCGAATACTAACTCAATCTTGTCAGGGTTTAACCCCAGAGCTCCCCTCGGATTTTGAATAATAAGCTTGGTGATATGGTCATTGGAAAAGCCAAGTTTCTGCAACAAAAGAATAATTCCAGCCATTTTCCTGGGCGCATAATAGCCAAGCAAATAAGAACATCTTTTCAAAGCCAAAACTACTTTATCATCATTGCCAAACAAATTCCTCAAGAATTCAAGCTGGGGTTTGATGTGAGAATCTAAACCCCTCCCTAAAAGGGTTTTGTTACCCATAAGAACCTTGACTAGGTCCGATCCGGATAGCCCTAAATCTTGGAGGAACCGGATTTTGGGTCTAAGGGTTTTGTCCAGATCATTGAATAGTAAATGGGGGTATACCAAAAGAAGACTTTTGATCTGGGTTTTGCTAAAGCCCAAATCTTGGAAGAAATTGACAATTAAACTGAAGTCTTTTTTCATGGGTTTCAAGCGCGTTACCTTCTTCAGGGATGAAGAGGAGTTGGCTTCTTCTCTTGAGAACCCAATTGAGTTTATCAGGAATTCTTCCAAGACATGATTTTTCTGGGGTTTTGCAGATGATACTGCTGCAGTAGCGGTGGAGCATTGGAGGAGGGTTTTGAAGACGAACAAATTCCTGGCGCCATCATTGATGTTAAGCCTTCTGGATACATGGGCAAGCATTCTACTTGTCTTGTGAAAGCTAGAAATTTAAAGCTTAAGAAAAGCAGAAAAAACTCGGCAGAATCAGGAGGCACCAACTGACAGAGTAATCTCAGAGATTGTAGGTGAAACCGCCGCCGCCGAAATTTTTGCCCACTCAAATTTTGGAGGGCTTCTGTGTAGGAAATGCATTCTCAACTAAACCCCTCTCCTTGAACTCCTTGAAAGCGTGAAAAGGTCTTGAAGAAAGGAGCCACGCTCTCACGCTCTAAGTTAAGTTAATTTAAAATGCCAGTAGTGTTGACTTGAAGAAAAATGGTACTACGATATTAGAACTAATTTTGCATCATGTCATTCATTACCATTTCTAAGGAAGTAGTAATAAAAGTTTATGCATGATATTGAGGGGAAGAAATGGTATCAATTAAGCACAAAACAGTAAAACACCTTAATTAATTATCCTATAATTAGGAAAAATGGACTATTATCCTGTGATTAGGGATACACTAGGTTATTATCATATGGCTGGATAATCGAATGGAATCTTAAAACCTTAATGATTTAGCCTAACCCAACGGGAGAGGAAAGCTGAGAGCCTGAGAGGTCTTCCATTCCCACATAGGAACCAGCTCCTTCATTACCTTTCTTCTTTTCCCCCGTGCCAACTGCCAAATTAAGAGAAATCCCATTATGGACCCTATTCACAAAAACTAGAAGCCAAACGCAAATAAGAGAAAATAATAGAACAACATTTGCAGCTGCTCAAAACGAAAAGAGAAAAATTGCAACTATGATGACATCTTGCGATTATATTACATTCAGGAATCGAAACAGTGATTGTAATGACAGTCTGTCTAGTTTTTGTATCAATTCCAGATACAAAGTGAACGAGTTTGAGGCTTTGCATGGATGCCGGTCTTAATTCTCATCTCAGTTTCAGAGAATTAGATTTGGATGAACTGATGGGAATGTTTGTGGGACGGGATCTTCGGTTGCTGGAAGTTGAAGGAGAGCTCCGATGGGAGGATGGGTTGGCTTCGGAATAGCTGCAGATAGGCTGAAAGCAAGGCGGCTGATGACTGGCGGTTGCTGCTAAAGGCCCGTGTGAATGGACCCAACAAAAGAAAAAGATAGGGCAAAAATGCAATAATAATTTTGATACCCATTCCACTAAAAATTGTACCAAGCAGTAGTGATTTCAATGATACCAGCAGCTTATACCCATACTGATTTTTTATAATTCAATCCGTATCCAATTTTATAATTCATTCCGTATCCAATTCCAATTCCGGAACATGAACCAAGCACCCCCTTAACGCAGGGCGGTAAGCCAAGTAATTAGAGGTATATCCCAGTTCCTTCATGAAAAAATTCAAAGCTTCCCTAATTTTAGACTCTGGCAACCGTAAACAAAGAGGATGCTTGCCAACAATTGTTCGTACATCAGCATCAGACCAGCCAAAACTTCTTAAAATGTCAAATTTCCTGTCAATGGTGGACTTGGCAATCGTACTAACGACTTCAAAGCCGTAGTAAAACATGGGCGATCCACGAGGAATCCCAAAATCATTTTCCACCGCGCGCGACATTTCCTCAAAATTTTCAGGTTCTAGTATAAAAATGCGCCTAGGAATCCTAAGAACAAAGTTAGCAACATTCTTACCCGAAAAGCCATAATTCTTCAACAAAGCAGCAGCCGCAGCCACTTTTTCAGATGCATCATAACGAAGCAGCGAAGAACATCTCTTCACAGCTCTGGCTACTTTCTTCTCATCGGCGCCTAACAAAATCCTAACATAAGCAAGTCGGGTTCTGAAAAAATCCAACCCTGACTTGAAAAGATGTTTTTGAAACATAAAAAGCCTGACAATTTCCGACCCGGATAAACCAAGATCCCGGAAAAACTGGAGCTTGGGTTCAAGTGTTTTGTCCGGCTGATAATAGAGTAACCCGGGAAGTACGGAAACAATGCTTTTGATCTGGGATTTGCTAAAACCCTGCTTAACCAAGAAATGAATGACTAAACTAGGGTCTTTTCTGAAGGGTTTAAGAGATACCTTTTTTGAAGCGGAAAAAGCTTCTTCTTTTGAGAAGCCAAGTGAGTTTACGAGGTATTCTTCCAAGAAACGGTTTTTCTGGTGTTCTGGGACGGCTGCTGCTCTAGTTGTGTAGTGAGGCAGAGGCTCGGGGAAGAGAACCACCACCCTGGTGCAGGCGCTCGTGCCGCCATTGATGCGAAGCCTTCTAAAAATCTGAGCAAACATTTGTGTTTTAGTGCTTAATTGGGGCTTATAGAGAAAATTTCCAGAACCCGCGAGTTAAATTCAATTTGGTCCCTCAACATTTTATCGCATGAATTAAGTCCAGATGACTGCTTTAATCAATCTATCACTTCAGAAAGCAAATATAATTTTCATCTCTAGAATTAGGGGCTGTTGAATGTTGATGAAGAATTAACCATGCATTTGAGTACTCGGATGAACCCTCAACCATTTTCAGTACTATAACCACGTCTGTCCAGCCAAAATTTCTAAATATAGCGAATTTCATGTCAACTGTAGACATGAAGCTTTTATAAGGTACAACCACGTTAACTAGGCTTGCCCCAGGAGAAACTCTGACTCTAGGTGGAAACACGGTTCTGAGTATGCAACTTCTTTAAAGTGCATGATGAATCGATCATCTGCACTTCTATAGCCCATAGCCAACTGCTAAATCAATTCCTGGGCAATCAAACACAAGTTAAGAACCAGCAAATGCACTACAGAACTATAAAATAATAATCCTAATGATCTACAATCAGGCAGGCTTGTTCTGATGTGCAAGAAAAAGACAAATTAGAATGAATTTTCTGGAATTCTCCTCACAGGAAAGTCTGGAACACAGACCAGAGCGACCTTTTGGCATTTGGAGGATTCAAAATTTCTGGTCAGACCTAGAGGTTTGACATCATTTGCCAGCAAAACTTGCCGCCAACAGTGGGCACCTAGAGCGAGGTGTTTCAATAGTACTTCAAACTTGCTTAAAACAGAAACAACATGTTGGTTTCCAGCATAGAAACTCCTCTAATTTGCAAAAGCAGTAAAAATCAGTTAGCAATCAACAAAAAAAAAGTTTAAATCGCAACTCCTAATAGGGCAAAAGAAAGTCATTCTTTCCTGTGCATCTTCTTTCTAGTTAATCATTAATGAATCATATGAAACATCCCACAAAATCCAATGATCTGTGGCATTATCTCCCCTTTGACCTAAGCACCCACTACTGCAAGGAGGAAGCCAACCTATGTATGTATTCTTCTAAACTAATCAGACAATATTTCTACTAATTGTTGTGTGCCAAGGTAAACTTCCAACAAGTACCCCAATGGAGAAAAAGCACAAGAAAAACAAAATTCACAATAACTTCATTGACAGAATACATGACATGACAAACTGAAACAGTCTGTTACTTCAAGCACATCAAAGTTGCTTTTTCCGGCTGCCAACCTTCTTCAAATATGACTCATACATGTCAGGTAAAATATCCTTGTAAGGGAGAAGACACCTGTTCTGAAACTGCAATTCTGACAAGGACAAAATGTTAACAAGACCGGCTTTGCTCAACTTCTCGTCATTCAGAATTTTCAAAACTTCATGCCTGGGCTTCACCCTGCCTTCCAAACTAAAGGTGAAAACCGAACGTCGGGAAGCCAAGTAATCAGCACTAAATCCAACCTCCTTCATGAAATAATCTAGGATTTTTCTCATCTTAGAATGGGACGTATCCAGAACACGAGGTAAACTCCTAACCATTCTGATTATCTCTGAATTGGACCAACCATAACTCCTTAAAATCTCAAACTTCATATCAATTTTTGATTTACTACCAGAACATAGCACATCAATTCCCTGGGCAAACATGTTAGTATCGCGAGGAATCCCCCAATCATGTTGCAGCCGGTGCAACACCTCCTGCAATTTTTCACTCTTTGCAATGAAAAGGGTGGGACTTTTGAGAACAAATTTGGCAATGAAATCATTAGAAAATCCATTATTCTGCAACACTGCAACATTTTGTTCCATTCTCTCTACCGCATTATTACTAGGCACGAAAACAATCTTCCTCAAAGCTAAAACTACTTTCTCATCATCTCCCAACAATTTTCTCAAGCACTCAATCCGGGGAACAAGATGATTATCTAACCCTCTGAAGAAAATTCGGTGATACCTCACTACCAATTTGACGAGCTCGGACCCTGACAGGCCGAGTGTTTGGAGATAGCTGATTTTTGGTTTAAGGGTTTTCTCGACGCTGGAGAGTAGTAACTGGGGGCTCTTGGAAATAACTTTTTTGATGTCGGCTTTTGTTAAACCCAAATTAAACAAGAAATTGATGACTAAATTGGGATCTTTCTTGATGGCATTCAAGCGGATTAACTTACTTAAAGCGGAGATGGCTTCTTGTTTTGAGAACCCAAGTGAGTTTATCAAGCATTCTTCCAAGAAGCTACCAGTGGTAGGCGTAATTTGCTTTGTTTGAGGGGCGGCGACAAGTGCGGCTGGGGTGGAGCAGTAATCTAGGAGGGATTTGAAGAAGAAAGGACTGCCGCGGCCATGGACGTGAAGCTTGCGGGATACGCGAGCAAACATTTGCACCGTACTGCTCACCTGCTAGTGCCGGCCAGCCATACAAGGGAGAGGCAAGGCCGCCGCAATTCCAGCGAGCAGAAACCTAGGAATCGATGCAATTCGTGACGGCAGAACACGCCCCTGTTAGTTAGTCACTCTTCTGGATGGGTACGAGGATATGTGCCGAATCCGAGGTTATCTTTGGGGGTTATTAGTTGGCTGACTGGAACCCTTACAGTAAATTGTCGATATCATATCTCAGCGGTTTGGTATGATTATTTTCGCAACACAATTTATTATGTAATAATCGCAGAAAAACAAGTTATTTTGTATCCTTGTCATTCCTCGTTCGTTGCTTTTCAGATTTAATTCCGCTTTATTGCAAAATTAACAGCGGAGTAATTAGCAAATACGAGATGAACATGACTGGGGGAAAATACGCTCAGCCACTTTTGGGTTCAGTTTTGGCATACCATTTCTTGATATTTGCAATCCAGCTTCTAGGATATTCGCTCATGCAAATACTCCTACACGTTATCAAGACCAAAACGGAAAGCGACAATCCAAAGCTTTGACATGCACATCATTAGAAATAGAGCAGTCAGAATGTACACGGACACTTTCAGTCAATGTTTACTTGTCCAAATTATGTTGGCTAAATGCTGAAGGCTAGGACCACAATAACACTTCTTTAGAGCATCTTTCCTTTCAAAAAAATTGAGCTGGCTTAGAGATGGTGCAAATGCTGCAGCTGCACGAATTGCTGGAACTACTGGCAAGAAACCAAATGCTGCTGGAGAGCTGCAATGCGTATGCTTACTGGAACCCAATCTGCGTGGACCTCTGTACCTACAATCGTGTAACATATCAACTTCGTACCTTTGAGTCTCGCGGGACGAGCTGCATAAGATCAAACCCAAAGGCAAACTTGCTCTCAAAATAAATGAGCGTAATTTGGGACCAAACAATCAGTTCTTAGTGAAACAATAAAACAATCAGGATTTAGTGAAGAAAATAGAAAATGGAGGAGAAATTGTAAGGCCAAGAAAGGAGAATGAAAGAGTTTAAAAGAAATTGCTGTACTTATTATCATCTCATTTATCCTGTTCTCAGATCTTAGACGAGTACCCTGGCAACAATTGATGCAGCTGTTTGATAAAATTATGACGTAGTAAAACTTCCGCCTAACGTCAATTCGTCTTTCTTTTTTTGTCTTTGTTACGTATCTTGACATAATAAATATCTACAAACAAAAAGGGGTCTAAGCAGATTTGTACTGTCACATCGCATGATTCAATACTCATGGAATTCAGGTCCAGTTGTTCCAGAAGTCAAAACAGAATTCAGTATCCATCAAAGAAAGGTAATGTTATCCACGAGTCAACACTACAAAATAACACAAATCTCGATTTACAGATAACAAAAAGCACCAATGGGACTTTATGTATTCATACTGATTTCTTCAAATTTACATCTTCTCTATATAATGGGTTTCATAGCCTAATATGATTGTCAATCACGACAACCCGTTAGCAAGTGCTTTTGAAAAACTCAGTGTTCATGAATCATGAAAAATTGCGTCCAGCCACAAATTGGAGCTACTAAAAGTAATTTTTCCACCAAAAGCACCCAAAAGAAGCTTATCAAGAAGATGATAATAGCAACCACAAGAGGACTTGCCAGAACAATAATACAAGAACCACATCACATAAATATGCAACGAAAGAGATTGTGTCACCTTAAGCATTTCATAGTGTTCCAATCTGCTGTGCACCAACATTTCTGACATAGGACTCAAACATGTTGGGAAATTCATCCTTGTAAGGTAAAAGATAATCCTGCACAAACTTCAATTCTCTCAAGCACACAACTTGACAAAGGTCCCCCTTCCTCGTGCTCTTATTCTTTTCATTTAGAATCTTCAAAACTTCATTCCTTGGCTTAACTCGTTTTTCCAAACTCAAAGTAAATAAGAAAGGGCGCGAAGCCAAGTAAGCAGGAGTATATCCAAGTTCATTCATGAAATAATCCAAAGATTTTCTCATTCTATTCCCAGACATGGTTAAAGTTAGAGGTAAACGCCTAACCATTTTAAAGATATGCACATTAGACCAGCCATAACTCCTCAGGATGTCAAATTTGTTGTCGATTGTTGATTTCTGCCTGCCACATAGTATCTGAACCCCATAATAGAACATGGTTGACTCTCGTGGAATCCCCAAAAAATTTTCCACTAGACGCAATTTCTCCTCAATCCGTTCAGGGGTCGTCAAGAAAATGTGTCTAGGATTGTTTGCAATGAAAGCGGCAATCTTCTCCTTTGAAAAGCCATAATTCTGCAACAACAGGACATTTTTGTCCACTTTTTCGCACTCAATAGGACCAAGCAGCAAAGCATATTTCTTCAAAGCTAGAACTACCTTCTCATCAGTACCCAACAATTCTCTCAAGTAGTTAATGCGGGGTTTAAAGTGACCATCCAAACCTCTACCCCAAATGAGTTGTTTACAAGCCAAGATTACCTTGATCAGGGCTGGCCCAGAAACGCCCAGGTCTTGAAGAAACCTGATTTTTGGTTTGAGGGATTTGTCCACCTCACATAACAGCACTTTGGGGTAGGAAGAAACAATGCTTTTGATGTGGTATTTGTTCAGACCCAAATTCTCAAAATAATTGACGACTAAATTTGGGTCTTTTTTGATGGGCTTTGTGCGATTAACCTTCTTCAAAGCAGAAACAGCCTCTTGTTTCGAGAACCCAAGAGAGTTTAACAGATATTCTTCCAAAAAACTGTTTTTCTCCAGCTGCGCCGTGTTTGAAGTGGTAGAGTAGTGAAGAAGGCATCTGAAGGAAACGGTTCTGCTGCCACTGAACTGAATCTTGGACACGTAAGTCATCATATTCTCTGTCTGGGACAAAAAGCAAACAGCTGATAGGCACGGATAAAACAAACATTTAGGTGTACCTGTCAATGATTAATATAGGATTGCCATGGCGGCGGAGCTGCGGTTTAAAAAAATTCAAGGCCTGCAAAACTTCAAATATTGAAAATGTATCTTCAGCATGGCTCCCTAAAGCCGTAGAATGTCAGCCAGTGAAAACTTGCGCCTTCATGCTTGTGCGGAAAACTTGCGCTTTAATGCCTTTTTTTCGTTTTCCTTTTTTTTTTGGGGCGTCATGATTGCATTAGGACAGACACCACACAGGAAAAAAATATGGGTCCGGTAAACTACGAGGATTTTCTTCATTTTATCAAGGCATAATTCCAGATTCCTTCCTTAAAGTTTCGAGTAATATCACTTAGTACCCCTATACTTTTAGAATATCACTTATCGTTCTTGTCGCCCTATCAGCATCACACAACCCTCATTTGACACCTTTACCCTAGTGTCTGGGCTTATCTTGTGGAATATTTTTTCATCAAAAAGGTTTGGCATATTTCTTTTCCTTTTTTTCTTTTTTTAAAATAAAAAATTTGAATATTGACGAAAATCTCAGGAGATGTTTCAACGTTATCCCTTTTATCAATGGCATGCAAAAAGATTTGGGCTATTACTTCACACAATGCCAAAAAGATTTGTTACCTCTAGATTTGGGTATTATTGAAACGGATTGCTAATTGAGGGAGTACTTTTCAAGAGTAGCTTCAAAAATGAGGAGGCGGCTTACCCCTTCTCTAAGCTTTTATTGCCAATGAAACAACTAATTTCTAGTTTAATAATATCTTTTATTACCCCGAATATTCAGGAGCCATAACTGATTGACTGGTAAAAGTTTTTTGACAGATGGCCCTTAGTGTATATAGTCTCCTGAATACTTGAGAACAGCTTACTGGTTCGTGTAAACATTCCGCAGAAATGCATGACACAAGCGGATGAGAGAGTGGAAAATGAATAAAATTTCAGTAAGATCCCAGAAACACTAGGCTATTAGCAGCAACAATTTATATGCTCTCAACTTGGTGCTTTACTTTTTTTTTTTTTTTTTTTTTTTGTGTAAGCGGGAGGACTCGAACCCGAGACCTCTTGCTTACACTCCTCCCCCCCCCCCGGTACCACCCAACCCAACCCTCCCCCCCGGTGCTTTACTTACTTCTAGTAAATGGGACAAAATGTCAAGGTTTGGATGCCTATCCTCGTGCAAGAAATAAGCTGAAACACGGTTTGAAGTGGCACATCAGAGTGCAGTCCTAATCGTCCTCTTTTGGTTGGAGGAAAATAGGCAATGATCTGGAGCAAATCCAGTGGAAATTCTTTTCAGCACCTAGGCTTCTGAAAATCTCAAATGATGAAACTGAAAGCTGCTTGAAAGCAGGAACAGTTTGTTTTTCCCCTCCAGGCAGCAGGGACCTTTAAAGCAGAATGATTGAGTCCATTCTGCAGTGTTCCCTTAGGGCTTAGAGTATAAGCCTTTTCAAATACTGAAGTGGCAACCAAGGTGAACATTAATCTGGGAGCAAGCTCGCTGTCAACGGTTCAACCTAACTTCCCCAGATGTTCAGAGCCCAATGTACCATATTAGTCTACCAAGGAAAAGATGCCACTGCAAGATGAAAAAACTATTAAACAAAAAAGAACACATGAAAGAAAAACTGACAAGACTGATTTGGTTGTTCTTCTGCTTGAATATTGTGATTTTCGGCAGACCATAAGGGTTATAGGTCCATTGGTGTGAGACCCGACATTCAGGAAACCGGTCCATAATGTAACAAATTCAGGTCATTGCAGAATCAAGTACAACATGGTGTAAGCCTCTTTAGGGTTGTCATGGTTGGGAGAATTAAGATCCAAACCCATATTAGAGTATTACCATTAAGTCAACAAATAAGTCAAGAATACAGTTCCCAGTGCCTTGATTTCAGAAAAATTACATTCAAGACAATGACAAGAAGAATCTAATGACAAAGCACGAAAACATGTTCCCTATTTAGTTATGTTCTCTACAAACAGTAAGGAATTTCATCCTGACGAAATCTTTGACTGCATTATCTGAGCACAGAAAGTGCAGTCCCTCAAGAAAACAGAAGTTTCTCAAAATAATAGCTTGCAATGGCTTTGATGTAAAATTGTTATATATCAGGAAAAGAAGATAATCTTCCATATAGAAAGATTTTAGTTAGCATGACCTTTTGAGTTAAGAAATTTCAGAACTTCAAATAAGGCTTCACTTATTCAAAACTGAAACATAACAAAACAGCATGGCATGCCAAGCAATCAGGGGCATATCTGAGTTCCTTCATGAAGAGTTCCAAACGCATCCTCAGTTTAGCATTTGATGCAGCTAGAATACGTAGATGAATCCTCAATATTTTAAGTACGTATTTACACTGAATTCTTCAAATTTGCATTATTTGGGTTTTACAGCATAATAATATGATTGTCAATAACACATCCACATGAGAAGTCCCTCAGAAAAACCATAGTATTCACGACTACTAACGAATTACATCTGGCCACAACATTGGAGTTATTAAAAGTTCTATTTCAATGAAAAGTACCCAAATGAGAGATAACAGAGAAAAAGAAGATAGTGACAAAGACAAAAGGAGTTGTCAGGAGAATAATACAAGAATCATATCAAACCAATGTAAAGAGATTGTGCCACCTTGAGCATTTCATAGTGGCCGATACTTCTGCTCCAACTTCTTGATGTAGGACTCAAACACATCAGGCAATTCATCCTTGTAAGGCAAAAGATAATCCTGCAGAAACTTTGATTCTGTCAAGCACATAGCTTTACCAAGGTCCCTCTTCCTCGTGTTCAAATTCTTTTCATTCAGAATCTTCAAAACTTCATTCCTTGGCTTAATTCGTTTTTCCAGACTCAAAGTAAATAAGAAAGGGCGCAAAGCCAAGTAATCAGGAGTATATCCAAGTTCATTCATGAAATAATCCAAAGATTTTTTCATTCTAGTCTCAGACAGACCTAAAAATAGAGGTAAACACCTAACCATCCGAAGTATGTCCTCATTAGACCAGCCATAACTCCTCAAAATGTCAAATTTCTTGTCAATTGTCGACTTCCGCAAGCTACAGAGTATTTTAAGCCCATAGGGGAACATGGTGGACTCGCGAGGAATCCCCAAATAGTTTTCCACTAATTGCAACCGTTTCTCAAACCATTCAGGACTCGTCATGAAAATCCGCATGGGATTGTTTGCAATGAAAGTGGCGACCTTCTCCTTTGAAAAGCCAAATTTCTGCAACAACAGAACATTGTTGTCCACTTTTTCGTATTCAATGAGTGTGTTTGGACAGCCAATTATTTGGCCAAATATATTTGCTGACATCACCATTACAATTTCCAATACACCTTTTTATCTTTCCAATTACTTTTTTATCTCACATACATCACATCACAAAAAGTGCTACAGTAAAAATATTTCAAATAACTTACAATCCAAACACACTCAATGTTTCCAAGTAGCAATGCGTATTTCTTCAAAGCTACAACTACTCTCTCATCAGTATTCAACACTTGTCTTAAATACTCAATTCGGGGTTTGATGTGACTATCCAAACCTCTATAAATCAGTGACTTATAACCCAATAGTAACTTGACAAGGGCAGGCCCAGAAATTCCCAGGTCTTGGAGAAATCTGATTTTTGGTTTCAGGGTTTTATCCACATTAGACCATAGTACTTTAGGACAGGAAGAAACAATGATTTTGATGTGGGTTTTGCTGAATCCCAAATTCTCAAAAAAATTGACTGCTAAACTTGGATAGATGGGCTTTAAGCGAGGTGCCTTGTTTGAAACAAAGATGGCCTCTGGTTTTGAGAACCCAAGCGAGTTTATCAGATAATCTTCCAACAAACACTTATGTTGGGGTGCCGCAGTTGGTGAAGTAGTAGAGTATTGAAGGAGGGATCTCCATAAAACTGTCCTGCTGCCACTCAAATGGATCTTGTAAATGTAGGCCAACATTCTAATGTCTGGGACAAAAGAGCAAACAGATGATGGGCACAGACAAAGCTAAGTAAGTAAAACGGAATACAAGGTATCTGGAGTCTGGACTGACTATAAATGGCTGGTGTGGGATAATCAACCACATTTAAATCAACGGCGGAATAAATTGTAGAGGGAAAGACTTTAGGTGGATTTGCAAAATATTAAAGGTAAGCCCGAAATTTCCCCTCCGAAATCCGAACAAGCATCTTCGCAAGCCCCCATAAAGCCTTGTAGGCGTACAAATGTTACCCGGTAAAATTTGAGCCTTTAGGCAGTCGTGGGCAATCACAACTTTGAGTGAAACCGTGTCTATAGTAATCCGATTTTGAGATCGCACAGAATTATAGTTGCCTTAGTTTGGAAATTTAGGTTTGAGAAGGGCAGAAAAAAAGATTAAATTGTATAGAATAGGAGAGAAAAGATGAGCAGCATGTTAATGTTTTTTTTTTTTGATAATGTTTGTTTAACCTGCAAAAATAACATTACAAGAAAGCTTACCCCATTTTTTGCAAGGAAAGAGATGTGGCATTTTGTGTTGGTTAAATCCTTACATTTCTATTTCTATCATTTTCTTGCCGACTCGAATTTCTATATAAAATCCATCAGCCTCTCAAATTATTGACTATCATAAACGTTCCAAGTGTTTTTGTTGATTGGGAGATCAAGAATTTGAATTTTAATATCGTATTTCTTCCAAATCCAGCAATAAGAGACTTCACAAAAGATCTTAATAATTTCCAAAAATTTCTTTGTTTTTGACGATCTAAAATCTTCCCTCAGAGCTCCTTTAAAGTCGTGAAGGTTACCCTGGCTGCATCACTTGTGAACAGTCTTTTTCGTCGAGCAGATTCACGCTTTCACGTCCATGTTTCTGGCTCCTTGCGAACACAGTTCATTTGTATTATCAGTGGTTTCATAGTTTGATGAGTAAAATGAGACCAACAATGAAATGGCCTAAGAATCATCTTTTAATTCATCAGGGGCATTGCAAAATCTGAATCACCTGGCGGGTTAAAAGATCTTTTACTTGGGTCAATAACAGCATCAAAACAAGAGTTTCTCAATCTGAACTAAAACTAACCTTTCCTGGAAAACAAAACACTGCATGGAATAGGAAACTGCAGAAAAGGGAATACAAAAGTTTCTCAATCTGAAGACACATCAAAGCTTCTAATAGCCCCCTTTATCATTCCCAGCCGAATATATATGAAATCTTATCAAAACTTTCAGGCTTTATTGCTACAGTAGTGCTTGAAGTTTCATACAAATTTTCTCTTGGGCCCTGAAGTTTTTCCTAAACTCAGCTCTGATTGAGCTATTTCTTTTGTCTGTTTCTCGTTGATAAAAATAAGAAAATGAAAACAAAAAGGCTTTCTGATTTAATCCAATGCAAATTAAAAAAAATGGGATACCATAATATCCATTTGAAGATGAGATGGTGGCTGGCATCAATAGTACATTATTGGGATTTTTGAGTTTCCTACTTTAGTATCATCTTTTGCTAAATACAATTTTCTGGTTGTAATATAAACAAATTGCTAAGTGTCCTTAAGCTCTTGGAATCAACACATTTGATCATGGATAATGAACAATAAATTTATAAAAATCAGTTACTCATACCTTTCCGAAAGTGATACAATCATTCACACATTTGATTAGAATAAAAATAGAAGCCTCGGGTTAATTAGAAAGTTAGAAAGGTGATTACACTAATTCTGCAACTGCATAGGGTTATGTAATCACTTTTAATTGCTGTGAATGGTATGCTATTCAGAGCAATGGACCAAAATTTGTTTAACACAAAAATAAGGATGTCAGATTTGACGCATATTTTAGAAATTATCTCAAGAATATTCTCCAAACAAATTTTCCAACTATATTTGTGTCGCGTAGATTCTAATTTAAGAGGCATTACAGCAATATTTTCTCTAAGCTAAACGACTTTCAAATGAAATGTTAGATTTTTTTTTTTTAACAATGCACTAATTGGACACAAAACCGAATATTGCAAAATTTGAAACTTGTAAGTTTAATCAACTGATTCTCTTATACAAAAAGACACAAAGCTTAAAACGCACCCGTCTAGACCGATGGTGGTTCAGTGTTCATCAATTTCTCGTGGGGTCTTTTCAGGTTCCATACTCATAGTATAGATGGTGAAGGTATAACGCTTATACTATATCAAGAAAATTTTCTCAAGGAATAAGGATCTGAATCACTGGGCTACATTTGATTCTGTGAATTACTACAATAAATTATAGTAACTTCTAATTGCAAATTGTAATTTAAGACAAACTAGGCGGAAAACCGTAGGGCTGTAACTCAATTTGGTCTCCTGCCTAATGCCTATTAGTCAAGCAAGTAATGTACTTGCATGAAGAAATGCACCATTGACTCGTATATATATAACGAAATTGCAAATTTCACCATTGATGGGAGACCATCGGCTGCATAAATGGACTAAAAGCTAAGAAACTTGATTTAGCCCATCAAACAAGCCCCTCAAATCATGCGAAAACTCATATGCTCTTCACCGACTTCATTGGTACAGTTTAGAAGTTGACATTGTTACTCTTCTAAGACTGTAATGAAGTAGAGAAACATAATAGGGAAGGATGTGAAAAGGCAGACATTAATTTCTATGCTTGGCTTTAGAATATAAATTTAGTCAAAACATATTCTGGCTGAAGCCATTTGCTGTGAAAAGAAACTTGAAAGATAATTTAGGATTGTCCTTTCAAGGATTTCACTTCAGATCAGTGTCCTTCCTAGAGTTGTTTCTATTTTCTGTTGTTGGTTTTTTTTTTCCCACTTTTTCTGGAAAAATATAAGGTCGTCTATTTTTTTGCAATTTTCCTTTACATGTTACTGTTGGCAATTTCAGGTTGCGTTGTAGATCTTTATTTTGATTGGTTTAAACTTTCCACTTTTTTCAGTTCAAATTTTGTGTAGATTCTGTAAATTGGAAAAACAAGGCGTTTACAAAACACAAACATTATTATCTTTTGCAGGGGAAGAAAAAATTAAAACAAAAAGGAAGGAAAAGTGACTTGAAACTCTTCTTAATTAATTTGAAGACAAAAAACAGAAAACTCTTGCAAATACATGGCAGTAAACAACTCATAATTATAGCTGCCTCTTAAGGTTTTTGCATGGACTGGTGTGTTATCATCATACAAACTGTTGATTGCGAGAAAACAAATCATATTAGCCGAAAGTTCAGGTACAAAATTTATGAAAACTACAAATTAATGTTGAAACAAACTGCAATGTCTCAGCTGCCCATTATTAATCCCTTCATGCTTCATCTGGACTTCCAACTTCCAAGACGAAAATACTAATTTAAGGGCTCATCTGCCCTTCATTGAAACAAGTAAAGTTTATGGGAATTACAAACTAATATTACAACAAACTACAAAATCTCAAGCGGCTATCAGTATCATCATGCTTCAACTGGACTTCCAAGAAGTAAATACACTGATTTCGGAGTTGTGATCAATGGCTAAGGTCTCTTTGTTGAAAGATCACAGAAGAAAGTAACCGAATTTGGATGCAGATTGTGGCATGGAGAAGAACCTGAAGGAGGCACGTAACCCTTAGGAAGCATAGCCGAAAATGGCCTGCTGGATGTAGGAACACTGAAGTTCTTGGTCTTCTTTCTCTTGCTTTTCGTAAAACCCTTGTTTTTCTTGAACCCTTTTCGGTTCAAGAAAAATACTTTTGAGTTCTTGAAGTTATAAACTTGGTACTGCGAGGACTGGGAGGGCAGATTGGAACTGGATGGTGCAATGTTGGGTTTGATCAACCGATGATGATCGTCAGATGATGATGGTGGTGGTGAGAGAGAAGAACAGGGAATGACAATGAGTAGGAGGAGGAGAAGAAAGAAGAGAGAGTTGCAATTACTCAAGGTATGATGGTATTGATCTGCCATAGTCTACCTTGGTGACTGTAGATTGCGATGAATATGTTTACGTGAAGAAAAAGTGCTGTTGATCTTGAGTAGAGGAAAATAGGGATGGATTTATTGTTGCAAGAAACTAAGGAATGATGGTCTATTCTATTCTATTATATAGCACATTAATATGTATATGCAAATGCAAAGTACGCGCGCGCGCACACACACATATATATATATAATGATCTGAGAGGATTACGAGGACAATTAAACGGAAAGCATCTCCTAAGCAAAGTATGAAGCTTTTTTTAAGCCTTGGCAAGACCATCCCTTGACACAAACTGCAGTTTCTCTTGCCCGGAAAATACATCTCCTAGGCATTAAGCATTTGTGGCAAGCATGGTTATCAAAATCGCGATCTGAATCATTAACATCGATCCATATCGTACTCAAGATAGAAATTTGTCTTAATACCAGTAGGATTGTGTATACGATTGCACGATCCTACAAATTGTACCACTTGAAATATGTTCAATGCTTAAAAATCTTGATTCACGTGTGATGTTCAAATTATGAAGCTTTTAAGCCATGGCAAACCATCCCTTTGCACAAACTGCAGTTCTCTCGCACGGAAAATGCATCCTAGGCATTAAGCACTTTTTGTGGCCTGGATCAGAGATCTGCTTCATTGTATCAAAGTGACCCTTTCCCTCCCGGCTTTCTCATTCACCCCTTCGTTCTACTCACGAATATATATATATATATTGCTATATCTTTAGCATTTGTGTCAGTTTCATCTTTATATTATTAGTTTACTAGAGTCATAAAATTCTTATCTTTTTTTTTCTTTTAAAGAAACTTTTTTCTGAAAAATATACGCCACTGAGCAACAACTAAGCCACGACTACTGCGAAATATTATATTATTATTAACCGAAATGCAGAGCATATCGTACTCTTAACATTGCAATGCAGATTTTGCTAATTGTACTCTTAACATTTAGACAACTAGCTGTCCATATTGGATATTTACAACTTAAAAAATCAATAACTTTCACACTCAAAATCATCTTTGATCCATAAACGGGGTCCCGTCAGAAGTAAATTCTGTATGGCGTATATATCTAGTCTGAGCATACCTAATCAAGGCTTAAAAGAATATAAACAAGATTTACAAGTAGCAGATCACAAGATGGTCTGAAGTCTCCACTTTGCAGAAGCACCTTTTCTTCTAAAGAATCAACCCAAATGAAAATGTGTGGAAGTGCCAGGCAGGGGCTTCACTCCCTGAAAATATAGGCTATAAAACGCAGTAAAGGTATTTGAAACCTGCAATATGCATTCCCAGCTGCAGCGGCCTTTACATTTGGTCTAAATCATGTCTTTCTACCAGTTAGGAAAACACAAAGTGAACACCTTAGTAAACAAAAGCTTTTTCAAAAAGGTCCAAATGGCCAGATATACACTGATTTTCTACATCAATGGCAGACTCAATGAACGGACTGTATGCTTATCTAATCACATTATTGTAAACAGAAGCTCCCTGCCTTCGTTGCTCTGATGAAACTTTGCCTCACCTTTAACAGTCCGTTATAATGGAATGGTGCTTCACCTTTAACAATGTTTGCTGGGACGAAACTCTGCTTCACCTTTAACACTGTCCAGACACAAGGTTAATGACTCTGTTAAGATTAGCAACACAAAGGAAAAGTGGAAACTAGTTAAAAGCACTGACCATAGAAAAATTCCAAGAACATGTGCTGTCATTTGTAAAATACTTATTAGATGCTATGTGAGCTGATGCCAAAGTTTGTGCCAGACATCTACACGTCCCGGTAATTCGCGATACCTCTTTTCTAATATGCACTTATCAAAACAGTGACAATGATGAGGCACAAAAGAGATGCTATGTAATCAATTATACTTCCTAGTATCAGAAGACACACACATGTGATATGCCTAGCTGTAGTTGCAGAAATTCAGAAGACATGTCAACAGTGTGATATGATGCACCGATAAATTACTACTCATAGTTGTTTAACTTTACCAAGAAAAAGGAAGGAGAAAATGCTAGCACAAGAGTATTGCAAAAATCTGCTCTAACAAAATAAATCCACGTGGTATAGCAAAAACAACAAAAACGTTGGAAGGGTGTCCAATTTAATATGCACAAGGACATTCTCTTGATGAATATTTTCAATTAACTTACAAATTACCTATGAAACCACAACCACTTCAAAGTAAAGATATCATCCCTTTATAAAAGATAAAAGAATCAATCTTCTCAAAGTTGACAGTTAAATAGGCATAACATCCGATACCCCTTGATAGGGGTCAAGAATATATATATATATCCTTGCAGCTATTCAAACATAATTAGAAATAAGAGAATAACCATATCACTTGAAACACAAGAACGAAGACAGCGTGGCACCTCAAACATACCAGAGTTCCTTTGCCTTCTGTTGTCCAACACTCTTTAGATACTGTTCATACATATTAGGTAATATATCCTTGTGCGGGAGAAGAAAATTGTTCACAAACTTTGATTCAGGCATGCCCAAAACTCTATCAAGGCCTGTATTCTTCGTGTTCAACTTCTTCTTATTAAGAGTCTCCAAAACTCTAACTCTTGGCTTAACCCTTCTCTCCAAGTCAAAACTAAAAAACACTGGGCGCGAAGCCAGGTAATCCGGAGTACATCCAAGTTCCTTCATGTAAAAATCTAAAGCTGCTCCTACTTTACCCACCGACAGGTTCAAAATAAAGGGTAGCTTCCTAATCAATTGGAATATTTCCTCATCAGGCCAGCCAAAACTTCTCAAGTTATCAAGCTTCATCTCCAGTGTTGACTTGCTAACAGAAGCTAGAGCTTCAATTCCATAGAAGAACATCCTAGATTCGCGAGGAATCCCCAATTCATTTTCCACTCTATGCAATATATCCTCTATCCATCCAGGCTTTATTACCAAACTTCGCTTCGGATTCCTCATTATAAATCTAACAACATTCTCATCAGAAAACCCCACCTTCTGCAATAACGAGACAGTGGATGCTAACCTTTCGGGGGCACGATGATCAAGCAACATACCATACTTTTTCAAAGCTAAAGCAACTTTCTCATCACTCCCCAACACAGTTCTCAAATAATTAACATGGTGCTTAAGATGATTATCCAATCCCAATAGAAAAAAGGTTCTATAGTTCATGACAACCTTAACAAGGTCCGACCCAGATAAGCCAATATCTCGGAGAATTTGGAGCTTGGGTTTCAGAGTTTTGTCCACTTTGCTCAAAAGTACTTGGGGTGTCACGGAAACAAGGCTTTTGATCTGGGACTGGTTCAGTCCCGTTTTCTTCAAAAAATCAACGACTAAATCGAAATCTTTCTCGATGGAATTCAAGCGTTTTACCTTGTTAGAAGCGGAGATGGCTTCTTGCTTTGAGAATCCGAGTGAGTTTATCAAGTACTCCGCCAAGAATTGGTTTTGAGGCTTCAGAGCAGCTGCTGGGACGGCTGTGGAGGTGGAGGAGTAGTACTGAAGGAGAGATTTGAAGCAGAAAATCCTGGTAGGGTTCCCCTCAAGCCGGGAAATGCGGGCAAACATTGCTGATAAGTAAAAGCTAAACAGGACAGCGACGGAGTTAGTGAGGAATTGCTGCGGCGGAGGTGAGATCCAGAAAGCTGAAGCATAATATAACAATGTCGGAAGCCGAAGTTTTTGAGCACTTATTGGCGGCAGCCGCAGGGTTTAGAAGTGGCTGGACCAATTTTCAAGCGAATTCCTTGCGGTACAAATCGTGGAGTAAGAGACGCGCCTTCAGTTTGCATAAAGGGAGTGATTTGCTCGGGCTGTATGTGGGCTGGAGAGAACTCCTGTGAATGCGCACCCAATATGGGCTATATTAACAGGCCCGAATTTCACACCACGTGAAAAGTCATGGCTTTTTACACTTGAAAGTTTCCTTTAAATTTTAAGCCTTAAGGTGTAGTACCGTTGAGCGTGTTTGGATGGGAGATTATTTGAGATAATTTTAAAAAAAAAAAAAAAAATATTGTAGCATTTTTTTAATATGACGTATGTGAGATAAAAAAGTGATTGAAAAATGTACTAATGATGCATGCAAGTCAAGTCAGTGTGTAAATAAGGTGCAATCTAAACACATTCTGTATTTTTGTTAAATTGAGAAAAAGGAAAAAGAAAAACACACACACACATACACATACAAAAGAAGAAATTGTTAGCCCATTTATTTGCTTTGGTGATGGATTCCAAGTTTCCAACCATGGATTAGGTGCATTTTTTTTTATAAGACTAAAAGAAATCCATAGTGATAAAATGAACCCAAATCAAAACGCAGATACCGTAAAACATGATGAATCGAGAACTTTAATCTTGTGTACTGGACGAAGGTCGCATGGATGTGTTAATGTAGCTCAGCGGCGTAACTGAATTAACTCAATTGATGATCTATTCATGAATTTGATTGGTCAATGTTCGAATTCGAACTCAAAATTGAGCCATACGTACGAGGCTCGGAGGCGAGTTCAATCAAATTCATATGTTGATGTTAGATAATAAAAAAAATGTGAAATGTGTATCACATTCCTTGTTTTAATTATATACTGTATTAATTAATATAACTGAAGCTTGATTGAGTTTAGTTAATCTAGATTCGATCCAATTTTAGTAAGTTAAAACTTGATCTAGCTAAAAGTTATAAAAATTCAATGAGCTCTAGTTCAACTTTTAAGGATTCGACAAATTAGAACTCATACATCTTATTTCAAATCGACTCCAGGTAGTGCACTACTTAAGTTTGAATCAATACAATCGCAATCCTAAAATGTAGATTAGTTGCTTACAATGGGTGAGCAAAAAATTCGATTCGATCCGAAATCCGACTAAAAAACGAATCGAGCCGATCCGAAAATAGGATATCCGATCCGATTTTTCTTAGCGGGACAGATGCGGGTCAAGTACTTTCAAAAACGGATACGGATACGGATCAGCAAAATACGCGGGTACACGACCC